AACTGTCTACTTTATTCCTTAAGCCCTTAGCATATCATCAGATTTGTTTTAAATTCCTGGTCTGATAATTCCAACATCCCTGCCACATCTGAGTCTGGTACTGATGTTATATTCGTGCTCTCTCTTGAAACTGTGTTTTCTGCCTCTTAGTGTTTCTTGTCATTTTTTCTTGATAGCCAGACATGATTTAGTAGGTAAAATGAACTGCTATCAACCAGCCTTTAGTAATGTGATTGTTAGGTGTAGGGTACAGAGAAGCATTCTATAGCCCTATGATCAGGTTTCTGTCTTTTAGTGAACCTGTGCCTCTGGATTGTTAACTTCACATGTGCTTTATAGTCTGAAACCCCCACCCTTCACTTTTACATCCTATAGGATGGCTAGAGCTTGCTAGGGTTGGGTACTTCTCTTTCCCCTGGTCAGTTGGTTTCTGATAAAATCTGAGCGGGTTAGACTCTGGTTAGTGTCTCCTGGGGGCAGAGCTTAAGAAGAGCAGGATGCTGTGGCATATTCAAAATGGTTCCTTTTCCCTGCTGGAAGCACAAGGGGATTTTTCTCCTGTTTTCACTGTGAGGATTAGAACTGCTCCTGGGGGTAACACTCACAAAATTGTGGATTTTTTTTTGTAGATCCATAGCTGAATTCCCCTTTGGAGTTTTGACTCTCAGAGTTATCCACACCTGAGCCTCCAGCAATTGGTCAATTACAGTTCAGGTCTCCCTATCTTGGCAGTGGTTCCCACAGAAGTCGCTGCTCCTGGATTTCTGCTCTGGTAACTTGGAATTCTTTGTATTTGCCTCCCTATCTTTCCAGTTTGGGGGACAGCCATTTGGCTTGTGACCTCACTTCCTTTATGGATCTAAGAGATTTTTCAGTTCAGTTCTTTCCTTGTTGTGAGGACGGAGTGGGGACTTCCAAGCTTTTCACATGCCAGACCAGAAGAAAGAAGTCCTTCATTTCCTTTTTATTGCATAGTAATATTCTGTTGTATGGATATACCTCATTTTATTCATTCGTTCATCAGTGGATGGACATTTGAATTGTTTCCAATTTTTCTTTTCAATTGTTAAAAAATAGAAGAGTAGTTGATTTACAATGTTGTGTTAGTTTCTGATGTAGAGCAAAGTGATTCAAAATACATATATTCAGAATATATGTATTCTGTATGTATATATTCTTTTTCAGATTATTTTTCACCATAGTTTATTACAAGATATTGAATATAGTTCCCTGTGCTATTGTAATAGGTCCTTGCTGTTTATTTTGTATATAATAGTATGTATCTGCTAATCCCAAACTTCTAATTTTTCCCTATCCTCCCTTTCATCTTTGATAACCGTAAGTTTGTTTTCCATGTCTGTGAGTCTGTTTCTGTTTCATAAATAGGTTCATTTGTATCATTTTTTCAATATTTCACATATAAGCGATATCATATATTTGTCCTCTGACTTACTTCACTCAGTCTGATAATATCTCAGTTCATTCATGTTGCTGCAAATGGCATTAAATCATTCATTTTTATGGCTGAGTAATATTCCACTATATATTTGTACCATATCTTCTTTTTCCATTCATCTGTTGATGAACATGTAAGTTGCTTTCATGCCTTAGTTATTGTAAATAATGCTGCTATGAACATTGGGGTGCATGTATTATTTCAAGACAGAGTATTCGTCTTTTTTTAATATGTGCTCAGGAATGGGATTGCTGGGTCATATGGCAACTCTATTTTTAGTTGTTTTTTTTTTTAAACCGCCATACCATTTTCCATAGTGGCTGTACCAACTTACATTCCTATCAACAGTGGAGGAGGGTTCCCTTTTCTCCACATCCTCTCCAGCATTTATTATTTGTAGACTTTTTGAGGATGACCATTCTGACTGATATGAGGCGATACCTCGTTCTAGTTTTGGTTTGCATTTCTCTAATAATTAGTCCATCCTAAAGGAAATCAGTCCTGAATATTCATTGGAAGGACTGATGCTGAAGCTGAAACTTCAATACTTGGGCCACCTGATGCTAAGAACTGACTCATTTGAAAAGACCCTGATACTGGGAAAGATTGAAGGCAGGAGGAGAAGGGGACGACAGAGGATGAGATGGTTGGATAACTCAATGGACATGAGTTTGAGTAGGCTCGGAGAGTTGGTGATGGACAGGGAGGCCTGGCATGCTGCAGTCCATGCGGTTGCAAAGAGTTGGACACGACTGAGTGAGTGAACTGAACTGAACTGAATAATTAGTGATGTTGAGCATCTTTTCATGTGCCTATTGGCCACCCAGATGTCTTCTTTGGAAAAATATCTATTTAGATCTTCTGCCCATTTTTTTGTTTGCTTGTTTTGAGTTGTATGAATTGTATACAACTTGTATACAATTGGAATTGTATACAATTATTTGTATACTTTGGAAATTAAGTCCTTGTCAGTTGCATCATTTTAAAATATTTTATCCTATTCCATAGGTTATTTTTTCCTTTTTTAATGGTTTTCTTGGCTGTGCAAAAGTTTATAAGCTTGATTTGGTCCTATTTATTTTTGCTTTTTCTTTTTACTTGGGAGATTGATCTAAGAAAAACATTGATACTATTTATGTCAGAGAATGTTTTGCCCATTTTCTTCTAGGAGTTTTATGGTGTCATGTCTTATATTGAAGACTTCAAGCTATTTTGAGTTTGTTTTTGTGTCTGGTGTGAAGCAGTAGTCTAATTTCATTGAGTTACATGCAACTGTACAACTTCCCCAACACTACTTGCTGAAGAGAATGTTTTTTCCCCATCGTATATTCTTGCCTTCTTTGTTGAAGATTAGTTGACCATGGGTATGTGGTGTTTCCAAGTTTCAGTATTATAAATTATATAGCTATGAAGGCCCATGTTAAAGTTTGGACATATGGTTTCATTTTTCTTAGGTACAAGTCTAGGAGTAAAGTTACTGCATCATAAGTTAACACATGTGTTTAAATTTTTGAGGAATGGCTGAATTGTTTTCCAAAGTGGCTTCACGATTTTACATCACACTAGCCATATATGAGAGTTCTGATTTCTCCACATTCTTATCAATTCTTGTTATTATCTGATTTTTTTTGATGATAGACATTGTTCTAGGTATGAAGTGGTTTCTTTTTAATTTAGTGTTTAGATGTTTGTGGCAGATGCATATAATGGGTTGCTTTTAGTAGACTGATCTATATAGCAGCCCTGTAATTTTTATTTTTGGCTGTGCTGGGTCTTCACTGCTGTGCATGGGCTACTCTCTAGTTGTGTGCAGGCTTTTCATTGTGGTGGCTTCTCTTAGTGCAGAGCATGGCTCTGGGGCCCGCGGGCTTCAGTAGCTGCAGCACATATGCTTAGTAGTTGCAGCTCACAGGCTTTGCAATGCAGGCTGAGCAGTTATGGTGCGCCAGTTTAGTGGCCCTCAGCACGTGGAATCTTCCCAGGCTGGAAATTGAACTTGTATCCCCTGCATTGGCAGGTGAATTCTTTATCACTGGACCACCAGGAAAGTCCTCAATACGTTTGTTTGGTTTGTTCTGTTTTTTTATATTTAGGTACTGTAATTGAATGTACCTAACCCAGTTTTATCGAGGTATAATTGATATACAGCACTGCATAAGCTTAAGGCATACGGCATAATGTTTTGACTTACATACATCATGAAATGATTACCATAAAAAGTTTAGTGAACATCCATCATCTCATATAGATACAACATTAAAGAAATAGATTAAAAATATTTTCCTTGTGATGAGAACTCTTAGGATTTATTCTCTTAGCTCAATATGGTTTTGATTTACCTTTCCCTAATGGCTTATGATGTTGAGCATAGTTCCATGTGTTTGTAGATAATTTACATACCTATTTTGGAGAAATGCCTATTCAAATATTTTGCCCATTTTTAATTTCTATTGTTTGTCTCCTTCTTGTTGAGTTTTAAGAGTGCTTTATGTATTCCATATACAAATCCTTAATCTGATATATGACTTGCAAATATTTTCTTCCATTGTGTGAGTTGTTTTTTACTTTCCTTTAAAAATTTTTTTCTTTTTGTTTATTGTTTTCTATTTTCTTGATGGTGTCATTTGAGGCACAAAAGTTTTAGTTTTGATAACATCCAGTTTATCATTGTTGCCATTGCTGCTACTTGTGCTTTCATTGTCATATCTAAGAGATCACTGCAGATCCGCAAAGATTTACACCCATGTTTTCGTCTAAGAGTTTTGTAACGTTAGCACTCACATTGAGGTCTTGATCCATTTTGAGTTAATTTTTGTATATGGTATGAGGTAAGTGTCCAACTTCACTCTTTTGCATGTGAATATTCACTTGTTCCAGCACAATTTGTTGAAAAGATTTTTCTTTCCCCTTTTATTTATCTTGGCACCCTTGTTGAAAATCAAGTGACCAGAAATATGAGTGCTTATTTCTGGATTCTCAGCGCTAGTACATCCATCTGTATGTCTATCTTTATGCCAGTACTACAAGACAGTCTTGATTACTGCCTCTTTGTGTATTTTGAACATTGTTTTGGAATTGGAAATTGTGAGTCCCCTGTTTGTTCCTTTTCAAGATTGTTTGGGGTCTTCTGCTTCCCTTGAGTTTGTTTATAAATTGTAGGATCAGCTTGTCAATTTCAGAAGAGAAGTCTGCCAGAATGGTGATGTTGAATAAATGATAAATAAATAAATAAATTTATTAATATAAACACTTTGGAAGGTATTTTCATAAGAATAGTAAGTCTGCTAATCCATGAACATAGGATGCTTTTCCGTTTATTTAAGTCTTAAAATTTCTCTTAACAATGTTTTGTAATTTTCAGTGTATAATTTTTACACTTTTTAAGTTAAATTTATTCCTACTTTGATGCTTTTGTAAATGCAATTTTTTCTTAATTTTTTCTGTATTGTTCATTGCAAGTGTATAGGAATGCTATTGATTTAAAAAAATATTGATCTAGTATTCTGCAACCTTCTGAACTCATTCAGTCTACCCTTTTTTTCAGATCCCATTTAAAATTATGAGGGGGCACGAGCACATTGTGACTTCCTGTAACTTCTGTGTGGATGACACTAAGGTCCTCAGCGGCTCCTATGACTGCACCGTGAAGCTGTGGGTAGGTGGCCGTAATAGGTGGAGCCAAAACATCCCGTAAGCTTATGTCACCTCCTATGAGATTTCCCCAGTACTAAGTTCCCAGACATTCAAGGATCCCAAAGATTTGGAGAAGCCTTTCTGAACAAAGTACAAGAAGCAGCAGCAAAGTGAGGCCTCACTCTGGTGTTAAGTCACTGGAGAGATGAAGTTAGTGTGGCTGCTGTCAGCCTGCTGATTTGGATACAGTGGGAGCAGGGGCAGAGACCACTGGACTGGGAGCTCGCCAGCTTTTGCTGGAGGCTGTGCCTGAGGGTCTCTGAGCTGTGTCATCTCTCTGGGTCTCCTTCTCACTTGGAATATTCAGTTCCATCCTCAGAGATGGTATGTTCAGGCCTGGGCGATCACAAGAGGACAGAAAAGTGGCCAAACCTGGGACCTGTCCATGAAGGGTGATTGGGAGAGGCAGGCCAGAGAATAGGTCAGTGCTGTAAGATGCAGGGGGCAGGGGCCAGGAACAGGGGTGTGATGGACAGACGAGGTTATAGAGAGGTGGCCACTATGCACTCTTTCAAAGCCTGCAGGGCATCTCCAGCAGACCCTGGTGGGCCTGCTTGGGTGTACTGCTGGTCAGTCAGGAGAAGATGAGGAGGTGTCAGGTCTGGGAGATGGCCATGATCATCGGGGGCCCTTGCACAGATGACTGCGTGGTGAGGCTGGGCCCACTGGGGAGGACAGTCAGTTCTCAGTTTTGCTATCTCCTCTGGCTTCAGGAGCAGGAGGGGGACAGGATGGAGTGAGTTAAGGCTGATTCCTGGGTTCCAGTTTGAGCAGCTAGGTAGAGGATATCTCCTCACCTTACAGATCCCCTTAGAGGAACATCTTCTGGGTCTTGGTGGGTACTAAGCCAGGAAGACTAGCCAGAAGGGTTTGGAAGCTATCCAGAAAGTTCAAGCCCCACACTAGGGACCTACCAGATGTTTGACCCTGGGTCATTACATGGCCTCCTGGGCCTCCCTGAGTTTCCCCAGGCTCCTGAGGATCAGCTGAGAGCTGGGGCTACTCCAGGGCCTGCCTGGCTTATTCCAGGTCCCTACAGACATCCACTCCCGTCTCTTCTGTGGCCCTTATCCACCACCCCCTCCACCCAGCCCCATGATCTTGTTGGGAAAGCCATGGTTCCTCCGGAAACCCTAGGCCCTTTCTTAGTCCTCTAGGATAACTGAGAAGGCCTAGAGGCAAGGGGGTTTCTGCTGATTGTCATCACCTATGGGGAGGGAGGTTGGTGACTTTCTAAGTGTGCATTTTGCTTTATCATCTTCAGATTGTTTTCATGTTCTTCTCACCTTTTGAGTCAGTGGAAAGACTCACAGGGGTTTCTGTCTATTTTGGCCAAAGGGTTTCTCTCTCTCTAAAGGGATGTCTGCCTGTTTTTTTCTTGTTGTCCCAGTATTAGGGACCATCCATCAAGACCTCCCTGACACCCCACAGCAGCCTCACTGCCCTTGCTTCCTGCCTACTCCATGCTCCTTCCAGGATGCAGTCACCTGTCCAAACTCCCTCCATACCTGACTTGCTCGCAGCCTTACCACCTTGTGCCACCTTCTCCCGTTGCTCCCTCTCCACCCCCTGCCCTCCTTCATAGCTTCACGCCTAGTTGCAAAATCACCCAGTTCTCTGGCCTCCCTGCCTTGGCTGCCCCTCCAACGGGTCCCCTTTGCTCCTCCTGGCTCTCTTTTCTCCATCTTTGTCTCTGCTCCTGTCTCCTCGTGTGGCTCTCCCTGCCCCAGTTACAGTTCTTGGTGAGCCCTCCCTCAGGGGATGACAAATCATTACCATGAGCATCGCCTTCTCCCTCGAGGTATCTTTGGAAAAAGTCTCCTTGCCTCTCTCTTCCCTCCCCCACTCTCATCACTGTTTCTCCTCTCAAACCCACCACAAACCCAAACATCTGGCTTAGCCTTTTATTTATTTATGTATTTGGCTGCACCGGGTTTTAGTTGCAGCATGTGGGATCTAGCTCTCTGACCAGTGATCAAACCTGGGCCCTATGCATTGGGGGTGTGGAGTCTTAACCACTGATCCATTAGGGAAGTCCCCTGGCTTAAGCTTTGAAAAAGCTCCCTTTCTCCTAACTGAAGATCATTGTGAATAATTTAGAAAGTTCATCAATGTGTGAAGAAGTACAGAAGGGAAAAAAATTATCCTTATCTTATGCCCAATCGTCCTCTAGCATGGTACATCTCTTTTCAGTCATTATAGAAAAAGCCACTTTGCTAGTCTTTCTCATATTGTGGAGGTAAGATGGCTTTATCACCACAAAACATAAAAACACAAAGAAAAAAATCATTCCGTGAACCATGAGTAAACTGCTGTGAAAAGGTTGCAGAGTAGTTTCTTTTTCCTTTTAGAACATGTATACTACAAAACACAGACATTTCCACCGTCTTTGGAATTCAGTGGCAACATCTGGCTCTATTGCCATGTGTCTCTCCTGCCAAGTAATTCATGGCAGTGCTCGCTTTCCAAGTGGGTTATCAGTCCACGATTGCTATTTCCCCTCTTGGCCAAATGGTGGCAGTATCCAGCACTGAACCTGTGCCACCCCACAGACTTCATTCTGTTTTAGCGCTGCCCTTAGCTGGCCCAGGGCTAAGGCCACAGACTGCAGTGGGCCTCATCCTCAGGACCCACAGTGATCTCTTTTGTTTAGTTCCCAGACACATTTTTTTGACAACCCCATGGACTATACAGTCTATGGAATTCTCCAGGCCAAAATACTGGAGTGGGTAGCCATTCCCTTCTCCAGGGATCTTCCCAGCCCAGGGATCGAACCCAGGTCTCCTGCATTGCAAGCGGATTCTTTACCAGCCGAGCCACATGGGAAGCCCCCAGACACATATTTTTTTCTAGAATAACACACCATCCAGGGAGGCTGGATCACAGGCCATTAGAGCCAGTCATTTCTTCCCAAGTCATGAGGCTCATGAGCTGAGCCTCCAGCCTGGATGTGTCCTGCCCCCATGAGTTCCTCTTTGGGATCTCTTCCTGCCAGGGGGCTTTGATTAAGGACCCGGCTGTTTAGAGTCTCATGGAGCAGGGGTTGAGGGACTGGATCTGTGTGGAAAAGAGTTTGCACAGGTGGCCTGAGGCTGCTGTCCTTGCAAAGACCCGCTGACAAGGCTGGCCTTGGCTGGCGTCTGGGAACTTCACTGGTAAACAGTGTCCTACAGTCATATGAATCTTTCCCTAAGTGATCCAGGGGGCTTGCTGTGTCTAGACTGTGCAAAACCACATGGGTGATGCCTGTGTGACCAGACCCCAGGAAAAATCTGGGTCCCGAGGCTCAGGTGCACCTCCCTAGAAGACAGCACCTGACATGTGTTGTTACGACTGGCTGCTGAAGGAATTAAACACATCCCATGCTACCCACAGGGAGAGACTGTCTTTTTCAAAATTTATTTATTTTTAATTGAAGGATAATTGCTTTACGATATTGCATTGGCTGTTGATCAGCACGAATCAGCCATAGGTATACATATGTCTCCTCGCTCTTGAACCTCCCTCCCACCTCCCACACCTTCCCACCCCTCTAGGTTGTTACAGAGCCCCTGTTTGAGTTCCATGAGTCACAAAGCTAATTTCCGTTGGCTATCTATTTCACATATAGTAGTGCATGCTACTAGGGAGAGACTCTTGGAAGCAGTGCCTGGTTTTCTCTGGACCTCGCCCCAAGTGCCCTTCCCTTTGCTGATTTTGCTTTGTGTCCTTTGGCTGCTGTAAATCTTAGCTGTGAGCATGCCTATATTCTGAGTCCTGTGAATCCTGGAGAATCATCAATCGTGAGGGTGGTCCTGGGGACCCCTGACACAGAGCCCTTTGCCTCCCAGCAGGCTTGTGGTCTTAATGTGAATTGGTCTCTGCAGATCAGGGAGAACTGTCTCAGGCCTGGTCTGGTCAGGCCAAAAGCTCTCCCAACTGGGTGCCATAATTTCACATAACAATGCAGGGTCTTTCTAGAAATTCATTGTCTTGCTAATAGCATTTGTTTCCGGGGGACTTTCCACCTCGGCTTATCCTGAAAAGTTGTGGACACATTTTTTTTTCCCAAGATTTTTTTGATGTGGACCATTTTTAAAGTCTTTATTGAGTTTGTTACACTGTTGTTTTTGTTTTGGTTTTTTGGCCACGATGCCTGTGGGATCGTACGTAGCTCCCTGACCAGGGATTGAACCCACACCCCATGTACTGGAAGGCGAAATCTTAACCACTGGCCCGTCAGGGAAGTCTCTGCATTTATTGAAAACATTTTTATTTCTGTCACTGAAGCACCTTTCATTTTGGTACCCTCATTGTTCCCATCATATTGCCAGTTATTGCCCTCCCTTGTCCTCATCACATTCTCTAGTTATCTCCCTGCAGTGTGATAACAGTTGCCTGGGTCCCACGGTGGACATAGACTGCTCCCAGTGAGTTTGCTGTCTGTCCTCTATAACACATGACGAACCTTTTTCATTAAACTTTTCTTTTGGAGTTTAGTTAATTAACAATGTTGTCATAGTTTCAGGTGGATAGCAAAGGGACTCAGCCATACATATAATATACATGTATCCATTCTCCCCCAAACTCGCCTCCCATCCAGGCTGCCACATAACACTGAGCGGAGTTCCCTAGGCTCTACAATAGGACCTTGTTAGTTATCCATCTTAAATATAGCAGTGTGTACATATTCATCCCAAACTCCTCGGAATTTTTAGAAAGTTCTTGAAAGATCTTGCTTGATTCTGTTAAGCCTCTTTGGCCAGGAGAGAACGAGAATATTACCTGTTTGCAGCTTTGCCTTCAGAGTGGCCCGTTTCCATGGACCACTGTGGGATGGAGGAGGAGTTTCCTGGGGATGCCGTGGATGATGATGATGGCCTTCTTGCTCTGGGAGTGGTGGGGAAGTCTCTTCACCCTTCTGAGCTGGGGGAAGAGTCATAGGACCGTGGGTACTCAGACAAGCTCAGGGTTGATGCTGAACTCAGCTCACTGCTTCGGTTGACACTTTAGTGACCTCTGACCCTCTTCCGCTCTCTTCTGCTCTCTCATCTGATCCGAGGATGCTATGGATGGATCCATCGTTCGGGAATTTGAGCCGGTGCCCGAAGGTCCTGTTTTAGAATGCAGCGTCACGGCTGACAGCAGAAGGTGACTTGCCCTCATTTGACTCTGGTCAGGAAGGTGAGAGGGAAGGGCAGGCCCGCACACAGCACGCCAGGGACCCTCCACTGTCTTTTCAGCAAACACCCGACCTTACACGCCCATATGTTGGGCTCATGGTTTCCATCTTTTGCTGTGAGAACCAAGTAGATGTGATGACTCTGAAAATTTAAAATGCCAAAAAGAACAAATGTACTGTGACTGAAGCCAGTCTGAATGTTCTTCATGGAGCTTCTTTCCTGCAGTCACGCCTGTGGACCGGGGCAGCTGCAGGGTTCACTAGCGATTCAGTGCAGGCCGTCATGTCACAGGGGGAAACCGGGGCCCAGGAAGCCAGCCTGAGCTGACACCTGGGGGAGAGTGGGTTTAGGAGGCCACCCTGGGGTGCATTTGCGTTCACGCTTCACACAGACATGACATGAGCCTTTAAAAGGGGATTTGCTTTAAAATGGATTTGCTTTTACCCTGAGCAGCAACCACAAAATTAATCTATTAGTGAAAACGTGTGGGGGAATTTAAGCTTCATGTACATGCTTAGTCACTCAGTCATGTCTGACCCTTGGCGACCCCGTGGACTGTAGCCTGCCAGGCTCCTCTTTTTCCAGGCAAGAATACTGGAGTGGGTTGTCATTTCCTACTCCAGGGTAAGCTTCATGGGAATTTATCTCATGCAGAGGACACATTCTTACTGAAACATGCCAGGTAAGAAGACAAGGTACACTTATATTACTGGGTTGGCCGAAAAATTCATTAGGGCTTTTCCATAACATCTTATGGGAAAATCCGCATGAACTTTTTAGCCAGCCCAATATTGTAAATGTACAAGAAAACATTCAGAATGAAATGAGCTATAACAGTCTTTTCCTGTTTAAAAAAAAAAAAAGACGTGAAATCAGTGGAAGAAGTGATTGATCCTTGTGAGTTGTAGCTATCCTTCTAAAAGAAGTCAATTACAGAACAGAAAAAATGATACCTTTAATGCCCCAGATAGAAAAAGACGTATTTGGTTGGCCGATGAAAGGATTAAGGAAGAGAATAGTGTCACAGTGCCTCCTGTGTTAAGATCTCTCTGTTTTCACTGAGAACCCCCAGTTCTCCAGGGGCTTCATGAAATATCTTTAGAAAGATTCAAGTTTTTTTTTGCAAGCTTGGACCTAAACTGTAGAAACTTTCTGTTAAATATTTGATCTTTCTTAGAAACCATAGGCGGAATAGTCTGGGTCATTAAGACCCTTGTCATTTTCTTTCCAGAATCATTGCAACATCTTATGACAAAACAGTGAGGGCCTGGGACCTTGAAACAGGCAAGCTGCTGGTATGTGTGCTCTGCCCTGGTGAAGATGTCACAGCACAGGGTCTTCTGTTTTTTTTTTAAATTTTTTAATTGGAGTATAATTGCTTTACAATGTTGCATTCATTTCTGCTGTACAATGATGTGAATCAGCTCTATGTAAGCATATATCCCTTTCCTCTTGAGCCTTCCTCCCACTGCCCATCACATCACACTCCTCTAGGTCATCACAGAGCACCGAGCTGAGATCTCTGTGCTATACGGCAGTTTCCTGCTAGCTTTTGTTTTACACATGGTAGTATATATATATATATATGTTAATACTGCTCTCTCGGTTCATCTCACCCTCTCCTTCCCTGCCTACAGCACAGGTTCTTTGCTGGGCCCTAGGTGGCCTTGAGCCGGTCATGGATTGGGAGGAGGTGCCAATGTTCTGGGAAAGGGAAATTTTCTCAGGGACCCAACGTGATGGATGGTGGGCTCCAGGGAAGGGATGCTGTCGGAAGCGGGCAGAGCAGGGCTCTGCTTCAGGGATGGGGAGGATGGGTATAAGGGAAGAAGTAGAGGTGGGGGCAGAGGGTGGGGATGGTGGCAATACAGACTGAGAAAACTGTGTGGGAAAAGAAACCCTCCCCGGGGGGATGTTGGCTTTTGATGGGGGCAGGAAGTAGAGCTGAGGCCATGGGGTGAAGGCCATATGGCCAAAGTACAAGGCCACTGGTTCCCAGTCTGTTCTCCATCTGAGAAGGGGCCACCGTCCATCCATCCATCCATCCATCCATCCATCCAGATGTTCCCAGGATCCCTCTGTCTCCTGCCTGGTGTCCGGGCAGCCCCGAGCCTGCTCAGATGCTCTGCAGGGTTTCCTGCCCCATCCCTGCTGCCCTCCCCGCCCACCTTCCCCCCGGCAGCTTCTCGTCACCTCTCTTCTCCCTTTCTCCTCTGTTCTCTCCTTAAAAAAAGAAAAATTTTCTTTTTAGTGCAAAGATCAATTTATTTTCGTTGTGAAACATTTTCAGAAAGAGAAGCCAAGTGTAAAAAAATAGTGTTCCAGTTAACATCCTGGTGTCTCTTTTCCCGTACACACACTACATATGAACACGGGCATGACAACATGACATGTTCTGCTGACAACAGAGTGTCATTATATACGATCATTGATTACTCCTGACTTTTAGCATCTCCCCAAATGCTTATTTCATCTTACATAAACATCCTGCTCTTGTCTCTAGCCTCTTTTTCTCTTTGAGATGTTTTTCCTTCTCTTCTTTTTAAAAAACTCTCCCCAGGATGTGTTTATTTAAAAAAAAAAATATTTGTGTATTTATTTGGCTGCCCCAGGTCTTAGCTGCAGCATGTAGAATCTTTAATTGTGGCATGCGGGCTCTAGTTCCCTGACCAGGGATCAAACCCAGGCCGCCTGCATTGAGAGTGAGAAGTCTTAGTCCCTGGACCACCTGAGAAGTCCCTTCCCTTCTCTTCGGTAAACTTGTTTTAGTACTTTTATCATTTTTGCTGCACAGAACGTCCATGCCGCTTGCCATCTATAGGGCTGAGTTAGTGATCCACTGCTGCTTGACAAACTATTCCGAAACTTATTTTCAAACAGCAAGCATTTATTGCCGCGCAGAGTTTCTTTTTTCTAAAATAATTAGCATCCTTTGGCCGCACTGGGTCTTCCTTGCTGCACATGAGCTCGCTCTAGTTGCAGCAAGCGGGGCTGCCCTCTGTTGCGGTGTGCGGGCTTCTGTTGTGGCGGCCTCGTTGCAGAGCACAGGCTCAGTCGTTGTGGTACATGGGCTCAGTCGCCCCTCAGCCTGTGGGTCTTCCCAATCCAGGGACTGAACCTGTGTTCCCTGCCCTAGCAGGCGGACTGTCAACCGCTGGCCCACCGCGGAAGTCCTTGCAGTTTCATGACAGAACTATTGGAGCAGGTTAGCCAGTGGTTCTGGCTTGGGTTTCTTGCGAGGCCACAGTTAGGATGTCCTCTGGGGCCACAGTCTTCTGACGGCTCACGGAGACTGAGGGTCCCCTTCCAAGGTGGCTGTCGGCAGGAGGCCCCAGTTTCTCTGCACCCAAGTCTCTCCTCAGGGCTGCTTGAGTGTCCCCAGGACACGGCGGTTCACTCCCTCAGAGCAAGTGGCTTAAGAGATGGCAGGAGGAAACCCTGGTTTCCTTCTTCTTTTTTTTAAAATTTTTGAGGTTATAGCTGGTTTACAGTGTTTCAGGTATTTGACAAAGTGATTCAGATGTGTATTTGTGTGCATGTGTGTGTATATATGTGTACATTATAAATGTGTATACTTATGAATATAAACACACATATTCTTTTTCAGATTCTTTTCCATTATAGGATATTATCCCACCCCCACTTTCCCCTTTGGCAAACATAAGCTTGTTTTCTATGTCTGCGAATCTATTTCTATTATTTTCTATTAATAATAGAAATAATATTAATAATAGAAATAATAATCTATTATTTACAAACTTATTTTGTAAATAAGTTCTTTTGTATCATTTTGTTAAGATTCCACAATAAGTGATATTTGTCTTTCTCTGACTTATTTCACTTAGGTATGACATCAATAATCTCTAGGTCCATCCATATTGCTGCAAATGGCAATAATTCATTCTTTTTGTGGCTGAGTAGTATTTCATATTATATACATACCATATCTTTTTTTTAATCTCTTCATCTATCAGTGAGCATTTAGTTGTGTTCTTGTCACGGCTATTGTAGATAGTTCTGCTGTGATCATTGGGGTGCATGCATCTTTTTGTTATTTCTTTATTTGGCTGTGTCAGGTCTGAGTTGCAGCATGCAGCATCCTTGTTGTGTCATGCAGGATCTTTCCTCATGGTACACAGGCTCCAGAGCGTGTGGGCTTGGTAGTTGCGGTGTGCAAGCTTAGTTGCTCTGTGGCTTGTGGGGTCTTAAGTTCCTCGACCAGGGATCAAAACCACATCCCTTGCATTGGAAGGTGGGTTCTTAACCACTGGATCACCAGGGGAGCCCCACATACATCTTTTTGAATTAGAATTTTCGTCTCTTCCAGATATATACCCCGGAGTGGGATCGCTGGATTATAGGGTAGCTCTAGTTTTAGTCTTTTAAGGAACCTCCACACTGTTCTCTGTAGTGGCTGCACCAAATTATATTCCCACCCACAGTGTAGGAGGGGTCCCTCTTCTCCACACCCTCTCTAGCATTTATTATTCATAGACTTTTTGATGATGACCATTCTGACTGGTGTGAGGTGATAGCTCATTGCAGTTTTGATTTGCATTCCTCTAATGATTAGTGATGTGGAACATTCTTGCATGTGCCTGTTGGCCATCTCTATGTTTTCTCTGGAGAAAGCCCTGGTTTCTATTGTGACTGGCAGAGACTATGACTTTTGTTACATTGTATCCAAAGAAGTAACTCACTGCATTGAGCTCACACCTCTGGGGCAGGTAATTAGTCTCCACCCTGGGGCTTCCCTGGTGGCTCAGATGGTAAAGAATCTGCCTGCATTCCCCGAGTCCCAGGTTTGATCCCTGGAACGGGAAGATTCCTCTGGATAAGGTAATGGCCACCCACTCTAATGTTCTTGCCTGGAGAATTCCATGCACAGAGCAGCCGGCTGGTTTGCACTCCGTGGGGTTGCAAAGAGTCCGACATGACTGAGTGACTTTCACTTTTGTGGAGAGAGGACTGTCAAAGAATTGGGGAGCATATTTTAAAAGCTTCACAACAACAATACCATAATTTATAACATACAGAGAGATTTTCCTTTCCTAGAATGTTGAGTAACTCTCTGTCCTGGGGGGCTGGGACTGCAGAGTCTTGTCCTCAGGCAGACTTGTTTACCAAACTGAACAAGAGTCAGGTTGGCCATTACTAAAACCTTGCTGCCAGTTCTGCTAGATGCCCCCTATCCTTGTTCATCTCTTCTGGACACACATTAATTACATGTATTAATTAAAAATTAATTCATGAAAACTAAATAAACATTCAGTTCCTTGTTTGCACTAGTTTATTACAAGAACTCAGTGGCCACATATGGCCAGTGGCTGGCATATTGAACAGTGCATAGATAGAATATTTCAGAAACTCCTGCTGGAAAACTGGGCTAGAGAGAAAACCTTTTGATTGTTGCCCTATTTCAGTGGAAGCTCGGTCATGAAACCTTCATAGTCTCTGCTAAGTTGTCCCCTGATGGTAAATACGTGGTCTTGGGCTTGGATGTGGATCATGGAATCTTTATAATAGATGCGAAAGACTCCACCACCGTGTCCCATATCAAAGGTGAGTTGGTGTAGGCTCCCTGCTCTGTTCTGTCTGTTATGATAACAGCCACCTGTCACTTGAATGACAGTGAGTTTATTGTTTTATTTGGTAAATCAGCAATACTGTGAACCATGTCGTTAAAGATGGGACATTGATGGATAAAAGTGAAGTGAAAGCCGCTCAGTCATGTCTGACTCTTTGTGACCCAGGCCAGAATACTGGTGTGGGTAACCTTTCCCTTCTCCAGGGGATCTTCCCAACCTAGGGATCGAACCCAGGTCTCCCACATTGCAGGTGGATTCTTTACCAACTAAGCTATCAGGAAAGCCCTGATGGATAAAAACATGGGCAACTAAAATCAAGACTGGTTAAGGCTTTCCCACTCAGTCTCGTGCTTATAATAAATGAAACATTGTTCTGCTTCAGCCTCACATGGACATTTAAAGCCCATCTTTTATTGAGTGAAGACCCAAGCTTGGCTTGCCTGGTGGCTCAGATGGTAGTCTGCCTGCACTGTAAGAGACCCAGGTTCAATCCCTGGGTTGGGAAGATCCCCTGGAGAAAGAACTGGCAACCCACTCCAGTATTCTTGCCTGGAAAATCCCATGGATGGAGGAGCCCAGCAGGCTACAGTCCATAGAGTCACAAAGAGTCAGACATGACTGAGCGACTTCACTTTCTTTCTTTCCAGGCTTCTTAACATTTTATGTGTATTTTCCCACATTCCTCATTCTTTACTGCTGAGTCACCAGGGAAGCCCATAAAAATATTAATCACTGATTATTAACAACACACATATTTATTCTAGATGATTAGCAATTTTATTACTATCAATTGTCAGGTATAAAAAAAATTCAGGTAATTAAAAAGACTAGAATGGCAACTACTGAAAAAGCAGTCATCAAATGTCAATTTCCTGGTTGTGATCCTGTGCAATCATTGTGTGAGATGTTACCTTTGGGGGAAACTGAGTGACAGGCATACAGGATCTCTCTGTAGGATTCCTTACAACTGCATGTGAGTTAACAGTTAACTCAGAAGAAAAAATAAAAGCATACATAATCATCGGAAAAAATTTGAAAGTGTGTGAGCAGTGGACTTCCCCAGTGGCTAAAGTGGTAAAAAAAAAAAAAAACCTGCTTTCAATGCGGGAGATTCGAGTTTGATCCCTGGTCAGGAAGATACACTGGAGGAGGAAATGGCAACCCACTCCAGTACCTTGCCTGGAAAATCCCCATGGACAGAGTAGCCTGGTGGGCGATAGTCCATAGAGTCCCAGAGTCAGACACGACTGTGATACTGCCCGTCCTGTCTTCTCCCCGGTGGTGGTGGTGGTTTAGTCGTTAAGTCGTGTCCGACTGTTTCGACCCCATGGACTGTACCCTGCCAGGCTCCTCTGTCCATGGGATTCTCCAGGTGAGAATACTGGAGTGGGTTGCCATTTGCTTCTCCAGGGAATCTTCCCTACCCAGGAATCGAACCCAGGTTTCCTGCATTGCGGGCAGATTCTTTACCGACTGAGCTACAAGGGAAGCCTGGTGGGATCTATTATTATGATTATTTTTAATTTAAAGGACTTTGCTTATAATTTATTTATTCTAGTCTTCCACAGTATTTCTTCTGCTTTGAATTTTTATATCCCTCAAGTTCAATGGAAGAAGTGTTTTTAAAATTGTACTGTGAGATAGTATTTTTTTTTTTTTTACTGGAGTATAACTGCTTTACAATGCTGTGTTAGTCTCAGCTCTACAACAAAGTGAATCAGCTGTGTGTTGACATATATCCCCTCCCTCGGGAGCCTCGCTCCCACCCCCCCACATCTCACCCTGTTAGGTCATCCTAGAGCGCTGAGCAGATTCCCACTAACTATTTCACACACGGTAGTGTAGACACGTAAGTGCTGCTCTCCCGGTTCATTCCACCCTCCCCTTCCCCACTGTGTCCACGGTCCATTCTCTACGTCCATGTCTCTGTTCCTGCCCTGCAAATAGGTTCATCTGGGGAGGTACCTATCACTAACAGTACACTGCTGGGTGGTCTTCCTGTGAGTGTGTGTACGTGCAAACACACACATACCCAGTACTAGTTCCCACAGACATCTAATGCTTATTTTTATCACCATGGAACCACGATGTGTGTCCTGCCACACAGCGTGCATTTTTCCCTTGATGTGTCACCTCGTACCGTCTCTCCCCTCACACTCTAAGCCCTGTCTCCACACCATGCTCCTTCACCCTGTGTCCTCATGTCAAGCCTTGGCACACCCTGTTCCTTCTGCCTAGAGCTCTCCTCCTTTCCTGTTTCCCTCCATAACTTTTAGCGACCTCTCAGGGCTGGGCCAGGTTTCCTTTTGTTGGTTTGGAGCTGTGACATTTGCTGCAGGTTGTTGCCTGCTCAGAGGTGTCTGCCTGTGACCTCTGAGGGGGGAAGGGGGCAGAGCTCCTGGTTCAAGGCCTGGTATCACAGCAGGCATTCAGGAAATGATTATGCAAGTGAAGAGTCCCTTCCTTGTGAAAACCAGAGTTGTGTTTCTATTTTACTGTCGTTGTCTGGGGGGAGCAACCTCAGTGTCCCAGGGGCGTGTGGCCCAGAGTGCAGAAGACGCGGTATCAAGTCACTTTCCCTGTGCCTCAGATCCTCACATGATGACGCTCACCGCCTGCTGCTTTGACCCCGACAGTCAGAAGGTGGCTTCTGTCTCGTTTGACAGGAGCATCAAGATCTGGGATGTGACGTCACAGGCCTCGCTGCTCACCATCACCAAGTGAGGAGGCTGGGCAGCATGCTGCAACAGGGAGGTGGGCAGGATTCACACCCTCCTGGACTCGGCCCGTGCACCTTGAGCTCCCCAACTGGTGCGGACATGCGGCATCTCCAGCTGTAGTCCACTGCGGTGCTACGAGCAGGCTGGAGATGGAGAAGGGGAAGGGGACAGTCAAGCAAGGGCAAACCCCTATAGTAAGTCCACTACATACGAACCTTCAAGGTGCAAGCTTTCAAAGATGTGAACGTGTGAGTCCGCTCCTATATGCCAGCTGTCGTACTGTACTACGGTACTTTTCAAGGTTCTGTAATATTAAATGTTTTTATTTTTTGTGCTTGTTTTTCTTGTACATATTATTTGTGTGAAAAGTATTGTAAGACAGTACTGTATAGCCGATTGTGTTAGTTGGGTACCTAGGCCAGCTTTGTTGGGCTTACAAACAAATTGGATTTACGAACGCACGCTTGGAACAGAAATTAATCCTATGTAGGGGACTTACTGTAGTTGTAGCCTGTGGGCTGGGACGGGCCTCAGATGCATTTGATTCAGTGTGAGCCAACACTGGAAAACATTGTGCTGAGTTGCCCGCTTCCTCCCCAAATGTGAGTTTCCAGCATCTCCTGCAAAATGAGATCTGATCTTCCAGGGCCCTCAAGGGTCACTCTGTCTGTGGCCACCAGCAGGTGTGTGGGCAGCTCTCCCAGCGGGGCCCGGAGTCATGACCTCGGAATGTGTCATCCTGCCCACTTGGCTCAGTTATGAGCCCTGCTGGCCTGGGTCAGTTGAAAACTTGGAGTCTTAGCCACTGGACCACCAGGGAAGTCCCCAAATTCTTCATTTCTGAACAAAGTACCTCAAATGCTTTTATTTCAAAAATATGTGATTTACTTTTTGAAAATGTCAAACATGCAGCACAGTACAAAACTTTGAAGGTACAAAAGAATACAGAGTGAAAAATTCTCTCTTAGCTGTCTCATAACCACTGTTTCCTGAGAAGCCATCACTTTTCCTCCTCCCTTCCTGCCTGTGGACTGCCTTTCTCTCTTAACAGTTTTTCCTAGATATAATTCACATGCATCCTACAAATTACCATTTCATGTACATAATTCAGTGGTTTGGGGGATGTTATTATTATTTTTAATTGTCTTATTATATGTACAAAATTTTTAAGCTATTTTACTGGCATTAATTACATTTATGATATTGTATGCCCATCACCACTATTTCCAAAACTCTTTTATTACCCAAAGAGAAACTCAGTACCCATTGAACAATAGTTCTCCACTCCCTTCAATCCTAGTCCCTAGTAACCTAGACAGCATATTAAAAAGTAGAGATACCACTTTGTTGACAAAGACCCAGATGTTCAATGCTATGGTTTTTCCAGTAGTCATGTATGGATGTGAAAGTTGAACCATAAAGAAGGCTGAGTGCTGAAGAATTGATGCTTTTGAGTTGTGGTGCTGGAGAAGACTCTTGATAGTCCCTTGGACTACAGGGAGATCAAACCAGTCAATCCTAAAGGAAATCAACCCTGAATATTCATTGAAAGGACTGCTGCTAAAGCTGAAGCTCCAATACTTTGGTCACCTGATGTGAAGCACTGACTCACTGGAAAAGACCCTGATGCTGGGAAAGATTGGCAGGAGGAGAAGGTGGTAACAGAGGATGAGATGGTTAGATAGCATCACTGGTGCACTGGATATGAATTTGAGCAACCTCTGGCAGAGGATAAGATGGTTAGATTGCATCACTGGCTCAATGGAGATGAATTTGAGCAAACTCTAGAAGATAGTGGAGGCCAGAGAAGCCTGGCATGCTGCAGTCCATAGGGTCGAAAAGAATTGGACATAATTTACTGACTGAACAACAACAACAAATTAACCTCTATTTTCTTCCTCTATGAATTTTGCTTATTCTAGATATTTCATATGAATAGAAATCATACATTATTTTTCCTTTTGTGTCTGGCTATTTCATTTAGCATAATGTTTTTAAGGTTCATCTAATACATGTTATGGCATGTAATAGAATTTCATTCCTTTTAATGACTGAACAATATTCCACGAGTTGCTTCTGTCTTTTAGCTATTGTAAATAATGCTGCAGTCAACATTGGTCTACAAGTATCTGTTCAAGTCCCTGCTTTTAATTCTTTTGGCTATATATCTAGGAGACAAATTTCTGGATCATGTCATAATACTGTGTATAGCTTTTTGAGAAACTTGGAATTTGCATTTTAATTTTGCAGTGGACCTTGCAAATCATATAGCTGTTCTTGCTAGATAATTTTGAAAATCCATACTCTTAACTGATTTTGAAGCTTGCAAGGAGTAAGCATAAGTACTTTGTTATAATTTTTTAATGTTTTCAAAGGTAACAGAAAATTCAAGAGAAGGAAGATCTATTGTATGTGCCCATGCTTTTGCTGACCATGTTCTGTCTTCTGATGTTCCAAGTTTTCCTCTTTCACCATTTTCTGTTTAGAAAAATTCCCTTTAGCCATTCTTAGAGAGTAGTTTTGAGAACAACAAATTCTCTTAAGTTTTCCTTCATCTGAAAATGTCTTGATCCTCCCGTCATTCCTGCAGCATATTTTTGATGGATATAGAAATCTGGATTGACAGTTGTTTTCTTTCCTCCTCTGAACGCTATCATGTCACTTTTTTTCTGGTGTCCATGGTTTCTGATGAAGAATCCACTGTTATTCAAATTGTTCTTCCCCTATAAGTAAGGCATTGTTTCTCTTTGGCTACTTTAAAGATTTTTTCTCTGTCCCTACTTTTCAAAAGTAGAATTATAATGTGTCTGAAAATAGATTTCTTTGAGTTTGTCCCACTTGGGATTCACTCAGCCTTTTGAATCTGTTCTTTGCCAAATTTGGTAAAATTTCAGACATAATTTCTTTGATTATTTTTTCAGCTCTATCTTATTTCTCCTTTTCTTCTGAGATGCTGAAGCCCCAAATGTTAGATATTTCATTATATTCTCATAGGTTCCTAAGACTCTCTTTGTTCTTTTTCAGTCTATTTTTTGGATTGGTTAATTTATAGTGCCTGTCTTCATATTTACTGATTATTTCCTATGTTATCTTTATTAAGTTTTATTTTTTAGTTGTTGTTATTGTATTTTTCAGTTCTAAAATTTCTATTTGGTCATTCTTTATATCTTCTATTTGCTGAAGCTTTCAATCTTTATGGTTATTTTAAACACAATTATAATTGTCAATTTTTTATAATTTTTAAGTAATTTTTATAATTTTTTTATAATTTTTATGCATGCATGCTAGGTCACTTCAGTTGTGTCCGACTCTTTGTGACCTTATGTAGGCTCCTCTGTCCATGGGGGTTCTCCAGGCAAGAATACTGGGTGGGTTGCCATTTCCTTCTCCAGGGGATCTTCCTGACCCAGGGATTGAACCCGTGTCTCCTGTGGTTCCTGTAGTGCAGGCGGATTCCTTACCCCTGAGCCCCTGGGAGAGCCCTAGAGCATTTTTATGATGGCTGCCTAAAAATTTTTGTCAGATAATTCTAACGTCTGTATTATCTAGGTATTGGCACCTGTTGACTCTGTCGCTCATTCTTGTTGAGATTTTCCTGGCTCTTACTTAGGATGATGAGTGAATTTCAGCTCCATCTTGGATATTTTGAGTATTATGAGACTCTTGCTGCTGCTGCTGCTAAGTCGTTTCAGTCGTGTCCAGCTCTGTGCGGGTCCCATAGAGGCAGCCCACCAGGCTCCCCAGTCCCTGGGATTCTCCAGGCAAGAACACTGGAGTTGGCTGCCATTTCCTTCTCCAATGCATGAAAGTGAAAAGTGAAAGTGAAGTCGCTCAGTTGTGTCTGACTCTCTGTGACCCCATGAATTGCAGCCTACCAGGCTCCTCCGTCCACAGGATTTTCCAGGCAAGAGTACTGGAGTGGGTTGCCATTGCCTTTGTTATTTAAATCTTCTGTTTTAGCAGGCTGCCTCATTAGAGCCTGGCGAGAGTGGCGGTCTAGACTCCCAATCAGCCTTTGCTGAAAGTGCTGGGGATGGGATTGCAGTTTTCCCTAAGATTTTTGACTGGAGTAAGGCAGGTGTTGTCTAAAGGTTTTCTGTCTTACTAGGCTATCTCTTTGGCTAGGAAGAACAGGGTTTTCTTGGGAGCCTTTTATCCAGTCCCCATTGTTTTGGGACTTGCAGCTTTCCCAGTACTCAGTTCAGGATATAAGAAGCAAAAAGAAAATTGTAGGTACTCAACAGCATGCCATCCTTGGGTCCCAAGATCCTTAGCTAGTCTGCCTTCTCTTCTCCACTGTTCTCAGTTTTCTATTTGCTCTATAAATGCCCAGGGCTCTTAGCTGTGCTTAACAGGAGGAATGGGGAGCAGTGCATTGACTCCATCTTGTCCAGAACTGCAAGTGCAGCCCAAACACTTTCCCCAAACTTTTGTATTAAGTAAAACGGTCTTTTATGATACGTGGAACTTATCTGAAATGAGAGTCGCATCCCGGAGTAGAGACCCTTGGTTTAAACCTCAGTGACAGTCTCTGGCTTCACAGGAGGGCTTGCTATTTCCCTTCAGTAATGCTGGGATGGTTCTTACCCCACCAGGCACTGGGACTTGGACATTTTAAGCCTGGACACCCCTGAGAAGCTGACATTTCTTCTCCTTTGATCCTACTTGGTTTGCACACTTCAAAGAACCAATACAGGGTCTAAAACTCTGACTCGGGTGCTAGGAAACAATTTGTTCAACCTTTTCTTCAGTTAGATGAATTGATATTATAATCTAGGCTACTCAGAGATGTTCGGTTATGTTTACAGTTTTGCTTGAAAACCCTATTTGTTACAGTAGATGAGAATCATAGGGAAAATACTTTGAGGATCATGAAACAAAACAAAACAAAAAGCAGAATTCTGACAATTTTTTTTTTCCCTAAAAAATAAGGTAGTTTGGGCTTCCCTGGTGGCTCAGTGGTAAAGAATCCATCTGCCAATGCAGGAGCCATGGATTTGGTCTCTGATCCCGGAAGATTCCACATGCTGTGGAGCAACTAAGCCTGTGTGCCACAGCTATTGAGCTTGTACTCTAGAGCCCAGAAACCACAACTGTTGAGCCTGCGCGCCACAGCTTCTGAAACCCACTCACCTAGAGCCCATTCTCTGCAACAGGAGAAGCCACTGCAATAAGTCCTCACACCACAACTAGAGAGTGGCCCCCTCTCGCCACAACTCGAGAAAGTCCATGAAGCAACAAAGACCCAACACAGCCAAAAGTAAACACATAAAATTTAAAAAGACATTTAAAAATTGAGAATAAATAGCCCCAAACTTTATTCATCAAGTGTCCAACATTAAAATATGCTTTAGTGGCACTGAAGACAGATAAGGAGAGAGGGAGAGGGGAAAACAGAGCATTTGGTGTGGGGAGAAGTATGGGGTGTGAGTGAGAGAAGGGTGGGGAAGATGGGGGGAAGGAGCCATGCCCCCCTGTCTGGGAGAGAAAGGAGGGGAAGGGGGGAGCAGAGGAGACCCACCTTAAACCTAAAAAGCTATTAGTCCGTTAACTGTCACTGACAATATTTCCACCTGCTCTTTTTTCTGAAGCCTCAGGCAGCTCTGAATAGGGTGGTGGTTCTCAGCCAGGGTCAATTTTGTACCCCCGTGGACATTTGGCAGTGTCTGGGGGACATTCTTCACAATTGGAGGTGGAGGCTGCCAGCATGTGCCAAGGAGTGCCCAGGGATGTTGCTAAACATCCTACAATGCATAGGACATCCCCCTACCACAAAGAATTATCCAGCCAAAAAGGTCAATATTGCCATTATTGGGACCTCCTGGAATACTGTAACATAGTTAGATTACTTAATATTTGGATCATAGTAGGCAGTGATCAAAAAAGTAATATCCATTAGGTCACAAGGCATCAGCTCCAATGCCCACTCCGCTCGCCTCCACTTTAAGTATGCCTCCAGATTCTCCAGGAGTGACATGCTAATGTGTGCACCCTCTCATATGTATTGCAGGGCACATAACAATGCCATCTCAAACTGTTGTTTCACCTTCAGTGGCCATTTCCTGTGTACAAGCTCCTGGGATAAAACCTTGAAAATATGGAATGTCCACACTGGGGAGTTTCGAAACCGTGGAGCCTGTGTGACTCTGATGCAGGGCCATGAAGGTTGTGTGAGCTCCTGCCACTTTGCCAGAGACAGTGAGTAATTAACACAGGGAAGGATTCCACACCGTGGGACTGCTGGGGCCAAGCTCCTCATGTTCCATTCACTTGGACCCTCCTTAGTACAGAGAGGCTTTCCAATGATGCCCACAGTGAGGGTGGATTTATTTTCCTCAAGAACCAAGAGACAGATCCATATGCACAAGTCTGCAAGTGACAGACACTCAGCTTGATGTAGCCAAGGCAACAAAGTAAATCTATTAAGTTCTGTAATGAGCGAGTCCAAGAGCTGATCTCCCTTCAGGAGTAGCTGGATCCAGACACTCAGACGATGCTCTCAGGAAGCCAACTCTTCCACTCTGCACCCCCAACTCAGTTTCTCTTTTGTATTGACCTTTCTCCTCAGAGAGGCAAAGATGGCCTCTGGTGGTCTAGGCCAAACGGTTCTGGCTACTGACAGTCCTAGAGGAAGAGAGACCGTCTTTCTGATGGCACCCACACAAGTCCCAGGGAAGACTCCCATTGGTTCAGCTAGAGACACATGCCCATCTGTGAACCCGCCCCTTCCACAGGGAATGGAAGTCTCTGATTGGCCAGGCCTGGGAGACTTGCCCATCCTTGGAGTTTTGCCTTCTGAACCAAAGGCACCGAGAATAGGTGAGGGGTGTTTCCCCATGGGACATTGTGGAGCCGTTTCCAAATAAAGAGGCATAGATGTGAGCAGGAACAATGACAGGAAACAGCCAGGGGCAACTGGCTTCAGTGAGGGCCATGACTGTTCCTGACTTCCAGGAGCCAAAATGTTGTACTCCCCAATCCTTGTGGGGAGTGGGGCTTGCTCTGTGTGACAGGGGCTGGGGAGGGGGCTGCTACCCAATCAATATACACATAGTCAGGGCCTGACTTGAGGAATGTTTCCTCCTTCAGAAGTAGCATCTCTGTAAGTCAGACTCTCCTATGAGGTATCCCACCAGCTTCTGTCTTTGGCTTTCTATTTAGGTTTCAGAGTTGTCTATAGTCAATCATCACTTATTTGCAGATTCTGTATTTGTGAAGTTACCTACTGGGTAAAATTTATTTGTGACCCTAAAATCAATACTTATGGCAGTTTTATAGCCATCCATGGATACATGCAGAGCAGTGACAAATTTGCCATAGGCACGTGCTCCCAACTGAGATTGGATGAGGTGACCTTCTGCCTTCTTTCAGTTCTCTTATCATAAGGTGTCTTTTTTGTGATCTATTTAGTTCCACCTTTTTTTTTTTTCCATTTTGTGCTTTTTGTTTATGATTTTTCTGTTTAAAGAGGCCCCCAAACATAGTGCTACAGTACTGTCCAGGATCCTAACTGTGTGAAGCCCGTGATGTGCTTTACAGGGAAATACAAGTTAGATAAGCTTTGTTCAGGCACGAGTTATAATGCCAGTGACCATGGATTCAATGTTAACAAATAAGCAGTATGTGTTAAATAAGGCATCTTTAAACAGAATCAGACAGAAAACAGAGTTAAGTATTGATTGGCTGATGAAAATGTTGTGACCAGAGGCTCACAGGAACTCAACCCCACATTTTACCTATGGCCAGTCATTCATTGAGTGTTTGAGATGACTTTGTAGAGCATAACTACCACGAACATTGAGAACAAGTGAAAGTGTTAGTTGCTCAGTCGTGTCCAGCTCTTTGCGACCCTGTGGACTGTACCCCACCAGGCTCCTCTGTCCATGGGATTTTCCAGGCAAGAATACTGGAGTGGGTTGCCATTTCTTTCTCCAGAGGATCTTCCCAACCCAGGAATCGGACCTGGGTCTTCTGCACTGCAGGTAGACTCTTTACCATCTGAGCCACCAAGGAAGCCCAGCTCAGTTGACTGGGGGCTGTTGAGTCGCACCAGGAAGAGGGTTGAGTGTCCTCAGCCACAGTGGCGCCTCACAGATGCATCCTTGGCCTGCTTTCGCCTCACCAGAGGAGGAAGCAGTTGGCTGAGGAAGGTTACCTCCTGAGATGCTTTCATTTGTGTTCCAGCCTCTTTTCTCGTGTCTGGAGGGTTCGACAAGACCGTGGCTATTTGGGATGTAGAAGAAGGCTACCGGAAGCTCTCCTTGAAGGTACCAATGCCAGTATCAGATAGAGGATCTGAGCATCATTCTTTTTTTAAAAAAATATATTTATTTTGTTTGTTTGACTGTGCTAGGTCTTAGTTGTAGCATGTGGGATCTTTTTTTCAGTTGCAGCATGCTGGAGCTTTGGGCTTCCCAGGTGGCACAGTGGTAGAGAATCCGCCTGTCAGTGCAGGAGACATGGGTTTGATCCCTGAGTTGGGAAGATGCCCTGGAGAAGGAAATGGCAACCCACTCCAGTATTCTTACCTGGAAAATTCCATGGACAGAGGAGCCTGGCGGGCTACAATCCATGGGATCACAAAAGAGTCAGACACGACTCAGCACATACAAGGAACTAATAAGTATGCTGGATCTTTAGTTGTGACATGTGGGATCTAGTTCCCTGACCAGAGATTGAACTGGGTCCCCAGCACAGGGAATGTGGAGTCTTAACCACTGGACTACCAGGGAAGTCCTTGAGCTTCACTCTTTAGCCATTTCGTATTGGGTGCTGGGGATACAACAGTGAGACAGACCTAAATACTCCCAGTGGAACTGACACCTCTGTGGAGGATGACAGACAAGAAAAACAGCAAACACATCCTCAATAGTGATGAGCGACACAGAGAACCCACAACAGGGTGATGTAATAGATTCCAGGAATTAATCCATAGTGGGTGGGCCTGGAGGGCTTCTCGGAGAAGGTGGCATTTGAGCTGAGAACTGGAGGGCAAGGAAAGACTGGATGAGTGAGGATCTTGGCAAAAGGCATTCCAGGAAAATGGAGCAGTAAAGGGAAAAACTCTGAGTAGGGGCCGTGTCTGCAAACAGCAGGAATCCCCATACAGAGGAATGAATATCATCATGAGGCATGCACAGACAGCTGTGGGCTCCAGAATGGTGGGTGTCAACTGGGTGCTTTTGGCTGCAAGTTAGAAGAGACTCAACTCCAAGTGGCTTTGTGATACGGAGATGAGTTATCCAGCACAGCGAGAATCCAGAGGGTAGGCAGTTCCAGAACTGGTGCCTCTGTTCCAGTTGCCCCCACGCCAAGATTTTTGCACACCCCTTGGACTTGTGATCTCATGGCCACCTTTGGCTGTGAATGCAGGAGACTCCCAGGGCTGTTCTGTGTCCCCCTCTTCTCTGTGGGTTTGGAGAGGCCAGGGGAGCTTACATCATAGCATGTAAATGTTCAACCTCACTGTGGTTAAAAAGAAGTCCCTTTGTGCTCCCATCAGGTCATTCTACTCTCCTTTTCCTCTTCTCTCCTCTCTCTATTATTCCACCCTCAAATTCCTGCCCTGTTGTTAAATGCACAGCAGTTTAACCTAACTCTTACTTCTTTTCTTCTTACCATACCTCACCATCCACCTCTTTCCATTCGGGAAAGACCAAAGAATGAAAAAGATGCTGACACGGAGCTCCAACATCATTAAGTGTCTGAACCAGCAAGTATTTATCTCCTCTAAACTCCATTTACTGGAGGAAATTAACCCCATGTATTTAAGTCACAGTGGGTAGATTTGCAGTTACTTGAAGTCAAATGCTCCCTTAGCAACAGGACCACTGAGTGATATTTCCTAGAACAAAGAAAGCAGACAAAAAAACTGCAAAATGTGCTCTGTGACCAGCTTGGAATATAATTTTTTTCCCCATTGTGTTAAGCACCAGAGTCCTATTTTTAAAAACACATATGGTGCTGTGAGATACACATGAATCCCAAGCCTTTACACTTTGTACTCCACCTTAAATGTCATGGATGAAACCAGGGACACACAATTAGTTGCTTTCAAAAGCAAGCAATGTTGAATTCTTGACTTTGTTTTTCAGTTCTTGTTGTTCTTTCAAAGGTTTTTTTTCCCTCTAGATCCTCTTAAAACTCTACTTTTCTTCAGGGCCATAATGACTGGGTGATGGATGTTTCCGTTAGCAGCAACAAGAAGTGGATCCTCTCTGCTTCAAAGGTAAAAGTGGCCAACTTCTGAGCGACTTAAAATCTCTATCACGTTTGTGAGAATTGTTGTTAGCAGAAGTGTATTGTCAAGTAAGATTCCTGAGCGTTTCAGCCACACCCGTCTCCATCCAAGGAGCTGCCTGAAAATGTGGAAACTGGGTCTTTCCATTTGCTCAAGTGAGAAGTTGCCAGGTATTTCTTAGCACATCGTTATTTGAACTTTGTTGGAGCAAGAACCTGTTCAGACTGGCAAATGATGGAGCTAGCTGGGGGCTCTGGAGGGAAAGGAGTCAGCTTGTGGACAAGCAGACCACTTTGAGGTTCCAGGAGTGTCTTCCCTCTCTACTCTCTGCATCCTTTGACCCCCATGCCAAGGGCACATAATGGCTAGCCTGGGACATCCTGAGGGCTGTCCTCCATGTGTGAGCATCAGAGAAGTAGGGTCCCACCTTGTCCCCCAACCTTAATTAGAATCATCTCATTCTCTAGACTGGGGGTTTCTAAGTGTATAAAAATGTGGACAAGATCCTGCCTGCAATGATCAACTTGTTAGAGAGCCAATGCAGGATACTGCAACACCTGACCAAAAAAAAAAGAACAATAATATAATACATAATAAAAATTATATGCTAATGTGTTGTTACTTTAGCATAAAAATATGAAAAATGATTATGTCAATTATATCTCAATAAAGCTAGAAAAAATAAAAATACAAGCAAAGTATCAAAAATGAGTATTTATTTTAAAATTTATTTACTTTTCTGTCACATAAATACAATTATTTAAACAAAATAACACTAGAACTAGTCAATAACAGTAATTAGAAGTAACCAATAATAGGATAATTAAGCAAATATGATTAAGAAAAATATGCTTTGTAATATTTCTTTCTGTCCTTTGATATAGCAATTTATTTTTACTCTAAAAAAAGATTTTATTGGTTATTTAAAAAAAATTTTTAAGTTTTTTTTTATGTGGATCATTTAAAAAATCTTCATTGAATTTGTTACAATGTTATTTCTGTATTATGTTTTGGTATTGTTGGCTGCAAGGCATATGGGATCTTAGCTTCCCTGACCTGGGATCAAACCCACACTCCTTGCATTGGAAGGCAAAGTCTTAACCACTGGACCACCAGGGAAGTCCCTTTATTGATTAAATTTTATAGGCTATATTATTGTACTTTCTTAAGATATATAAATGTAAAACTTTTTAAAAATACAATAAGATTGGTTAGACAATACTTTATGTATTTATCTTTTCCAGCTTTATTGAGATATAATTGACATGTAACATTGTGTCAGATTAGGAGGTACAAGGTGTGATTTAATACACATATATATTGCAAATGCTTGCCACCATTTGTGCCGTGCTAAGTTGCTTCAATCGTGTCCCACTCTTTGCGAACCTGTGGGGTATAGCCCACCAGGCTCCTCTGTCCATGGGATTCTCCAGGCAAGAATACTGGAGCGGATGGCCATACCTTCCTCCAGGGGATCTTCCCGACCCAGGGATCAAACCCAGTCTCCTTATATTGCAGGCAGATTCTTTACGGCTGAGCCAGTGGGGAAGCCCAGTCGTTTGTTGCTCAATTGTGTCTGACTCTTTGCAAGTCCATGGACTATAGTCTGCCAGGTTCCTCCTCCGTCCTTGGAAATCTCCAGACAAGAATACTGGAGTGGGTAGCCTTTTCCTTCTCCGGGAGATCTTCCCAACCCCGGGATCAAACCCCAGTCTCCTTGTTTTGCAGGCAGATTCTCTACTGTTGGAACCACGGGGAAGCCCGCTTACCACCATAGCCTGAGCTCCACCACATCATGTAATTAGCATTTCTATTTTTGTAACAAGAACATTTAAGATCTACTCTGTTAGCAAATTTCAAATATATTATACAGGATTATTATCTGTAATCACCATGCTGTACATTAGAGCCCCAGAACTTGTTATCTTATAATTGGAAGTTTGTATCCTTTGACCCAAATATCTCTCCATTTCCCTCCTGCCCCCTCCCAGCCTCTGGTAACCACTACTCAACTCTCTGTTTTTGTAAGTTTCTTTCTTATTTTTTTTTTAAGATTCCACATATAATTGAGGTCACACAATACTTGTCTTTTTCTGTCTGACTTATTTCATTTAGCATAATGCCCTCAACGTTCATCCTTGTCACAAATGGTAGAATTTCCTTATTTCTCATGGCTCAGAGGTTAAAGTGTCTGCCTGCAATGCGGGAGCCAGGGGTTCAATGCTTGGGTTGGGAAGATCCCTGGAGAAGGAAATGGCAACCCACTCCAGTATTCTTGCGTGGAGAATCCCATGGACGGAGGAGCCTGGTGGGCTACAGTCCATGGGGTCGCAAAGAGTCAGACACGACTGAGCGACTTAACTTAATAATATCCTATATACACATACACACACATATATATATTACATCTGCTTTATCCATTCATTCACTGTTGAGTATTTAGGTTGTTTTCATACCTTGGTTATTATGAGTAATGCTGTAATGAACATGGGGCTGCAGATATCTCTTTGAGATCCTGTTTTTATTTCCTCTGGATATATACCCAGAAGAGGGATTCCTGGATCATGTGATAGTTCCATTCTCAATTTTATTTGAGGCTCCTCCAGTACTTTTTTCCATAGTGCCTATATCAATTTACATTCCAACCTACAGTTCACAACAGTTCCCTTGTCTCCATGTTCTTACCAACACTTAACTTTTTGATAACAGCCATTCTAACAGTAAGGTGATATCTCATTGTGGTTTTGATTTACATTCCATTAATAATTAGTGATGCTGAACACATTTTCATGTACCTGTTGGTCATTTGTATGTCTTTTTAGGAAAATTGCTTATTCAGTTTCTCTTTTATTGATGTTGTTATTGAATTCTGTGAGTTTTTTTATAAGTTTTGAATATAAATATTTTCTCTTTATGGTTTCAGGTCTTATGTTTAAATCTTTAATTCATATGAGTTAATTGTTTTTAGTTGTATAGATAGGGGTCCAATTTCATTCATCTCTTCTCTATGTGGTTATCTGGTTCTCCCAGCATCACTTTAAACAAAAATCATTTTCTTTTTAAAAATTTATTTATTTTTAAATTAAAGGATAATTGCTTTACAGAATTTTGTTTTCTGTCAAACCTCAACATGAATCAGTCATAGGTGTACATATGTCCCCTCCGTCTTGAATCTCCCTCCCATCTCCCTCCCCATCCCACTCCTCTGGGTTGATGAGTTAGAGTTTCCTGAGGCATACAGCAAATTCCCCTTGGCTGTCTATTTTACATATGGTAATGTAAGTTTCCTTGTTACTCTCTCTGTATATCTCACCCTCTCCTTCCCTCTCCCCATGACCATAAGTCTGTTCTCTATGTCTGTTTCTCCATTGCTGCCCTGCAAATAAATTCTTCGATACCATCTTTCTAGATTCTGTATATATGCCTTAGTATATGATATTTATCTTTCTCTTTCTGACTTACATCACTCTGTATAATAGGCTCTATGTTCATCCACCTCATTAGGACTGACTCAAATGTGTCCCTTTTTATGGCTAGTAATATTCCATTGTGTATATGTATCATAACTTCTTTATCCATTCATCTGTTGATGGACACCTAGGTTGCTTCCATGTTCTAGCTATTGTAAATAGTGCTGCAGTGAACAATGGGATACATGTGTCTTTTTCAATTTTGGTTTCCTCGGGGTATATGCCTAGGAGTGGGATTCCCAGCATTACTTTTGAAGAGACTAATCTTTGCTCATTGAGTATTTTTGGTTTCCTCATCACATTATTCACTGTATAAGTGAGGGTTTATTTCTGGGCTCTATTTTTATGCTAGTACCATATTGTTTTGGAGAAGGAAATAGCAGCCCACTCCAGTATTCTTGCCCAGAGAATTCCATGGACAGAGGGACCTAACAGGCTACAGTCCATGGGGTTGCAAAGAGTCGGACACAACTGAGCGACTAACACACACCGTATTGTTTTGGCTACTATGTTGTTGTTATTCAGTCGCTCAGTCGTGTCTGACTTGTTGCGACCCCATGGACTGCAGGATGCCAGACCTCCCTGTCCTTCACTGTCTCCCAGAGCCTGCTCAAACTTATGTCCATTGAGTCAGTGATACCATCCAACCATCTCATCCTCTGTCAACCCCTTCTCCTCCTGCCCCCAATCTTCCTCAGCATCAGGGTCTTTTCTAACGAGTTGGCTCTTCGCATCAGGTGGCCAAAGGATTGAAACTTGAGCTTCAGCATCAGTCCTTCCAATGAATCTTCGGGATTGATTTCCTTTAGGATTAACTTGTCTCATACTTAAAATATGTGATTTTATGGTAGGCTAACATTTTAACATCCTTTCTATGACCAGCAATGATAATAGCCATCTTGTAGGCATATGTTTAAGGATGATATCTTTTTCCATTTCTGTAAAACCACTGTTTTTGTTAGTATTAAGTACTTCTGCACATTTTGAGAAAGTTGAAAAATGACTAAAAAAAACTCTGCTTGGGAGAGGCCCAACACCACGGGTAAGCAAATCGGATTCCTCAGTAGGATGTGCAGGCCCTTCGACTGGTAGGATATTTTCATTTATTTTGGTAAGTTAATAGACGAAATGGAATTTCCCAAAATTCACATTTTGGGAATCTGTAGGAATATGTACATGTCTGAGGAATATGTAGATAGATGAGCAGCGTCTAGTTTGTATTTGTGTAAGATATCAACATGGTTCTGTTTTATATTTTCTACAGTTTCATTAAAATCTTTATAGAAATGAAGATGATATGAAACCCCACCTTTTGAATCAAAGTGTCTATGAGCTAGGGGGAGCTTTTCCATTGTTGTCATTGTCATGGCTGGACAAATCACTCAATATATTGCAGACCAGAGGTCCCTAACCTTTTTGGCACCAGGGACTGGTTTCATGGAAGACAATTTTTCCATGAACTGGAGCAGGGGATGGTTTCAGGATGATTCAAGCATATTACATTGATGTTGTACTTTATTTCTATTGTGATATAGAATGAAATAATTATACAACTCACCATAATGCAGACCAGATCATCAGGCATTAGATTCTCATAAGGAGTGTGCAAACTACATCCCTCACCTATGCAGTTCACTGTAGGGTTTTTGTGCCTATGAGAATCTAAAGCCACCACTGATCTGACAGAAGATGGAGTTCAAGTGATGGGGAGCAACTGTAAATATAGATGAAGCTTCGCTGCCTGGCCTGCCACTCATCTCCTGCTATGCAGACCAGCTCCAACAGGCCACGGACCAGTACCATGGCCCAGGGTTTGGGGACCCCTGTGTAGAGGGCATGATTGTTGATAAAATCTGACAGCTCTGCACTGTAAGGGTCAACATGTATGTCACCAAACTTTCTCCTTTTGTTTTCCCACAGGATATTTACTTGCAAGTGCAGAATCAGAAAATGTAACATGACTTAGTGTGCTATAGTAAATCACCACGGACTTCACTGCTTAACATACATTTAATATCTGATAGTTCTGTAAGATAGAAGTATGACAAGTTCTCAATGGGATAAAATGAACATGTCAATTGACTGTATTCCCAGGTGGAGGCACTAGGCAATAATCCACTTCTTTGCTCTTTCCAGCTTCTAGAAGCCAGTCACATTCCCTGGTTTGTGGCCCCTTCTTCCCGTCCTCAAAGCCAGCAACATTGTATCTCTCTGTACCTTTCTTCTGTTGTGACTTATTCCTCTGACTAGAATTTCCACTTTTAGAAAACTTTGTGGTTATTTTGGGCCCATATGGATAACCCAGAATAATCTCCCTATTTTAAGATCATCTGCTTAGCACCCTTAATTCCCTCTGCAGCCTTAATTCCCCACTGTCATGAAATCTAATGGATTCCCAGGTTTGGGGGATTAAGATGTGGACTTCTTTGGGAGCGAGAGTAGGGTTGGGGGAGACCACATTATTTTGCTGACCACATTCAATTTCATAATCAAAGGAATGATGAGACAATGGATCTGAGTGGTATTCCCAAATTAGTTCAGTGACCAGTGTTTTCTAAGGAGCATAGAATTCTTTTTTAAAAGTCGATTTTATTTTTTAGAGCAGTTTTAGGTTTATATAAAAATTGAGCAAATCATACAGAGTTATAGCCCTACCCTTCAGTTGCCAGTATTATTAATACCTTGCGTTAAGTGTGGTATACTTATCACCATTAATGAGCCAATATTGATACATAATTATGAATTAACATCCATGGTTTAAGTTTCACACTTTATGTTGCGTCCAGTCCAGTTCAGTTGCTCAGTCATGTCTGACTCTTTGCGACCCCATGAACCGCAGCACGCCAGGCCTCCCTGTCCATCACCAACTCCCGGAGTACACCCAAACCCATGTCCATTGAGTCAGTGATGCCATCCAATCATCTCATTCTCTGTCGTCACCTTCTCCTCCTGCCCTCAATCTTTCCTAGCACTACGGTCTTTTCCAATGAGTCAGTTCTTTGCATCAGGGGGCCAAAGTATTGGAGTTTCAGCTTCAGCATCAGTGCTTCCAATGAACACCCAGGACTGATCTCCTTTAACATGGACTGGTTGTATCTCCTTGCTGTCCAAGGGACTCTCAAAGAGTCTTCTCCAACACCACAGTTCAAAAGCATCAATTCTTTGGTGCTCAGCTTTCTTCACCATCCAACTCTCACATCCATACATGACCACTGGAAAAACTATGAGTCCTAAAAACTCAAAACTTCTTACGCTATACCTGTTCACCCCTCCCCTTCTTCCCCAGAACCCCTGGCAACCATGGGCCTGTTTACTGGCTCCATATCTTTGCCTTTTGCATAATGTTATGTAGTTGGAATCATATAGTATGTAGCCTTTTCAGAGGTGGTTTCTTCCATTTAGAAATATGTATTTAAGGCTCCTCCTTTTGGTGGCTTGACAGCTCTCTTCTATTTTTTCTCACTGAATAATATTCCGTCACATAAATGAACTACAGTTCATTATTCTCTTATTCAGGGACATCGTGGTTGCTTCCACTCTTGGGGATGTGGGACTTCCAGTGCTAAGGCTAGGATAGTGCTAGACAAACTGGGACAGTTGGTCACCTTAACTCTGTCACTCTGCAGGTGGAAGTTCTCTTCATGTAACCTGGATGCCATGCACCTCCCTGGGTCATCCAAGCCTAATAAGCCCATTTTGTGACTGCTGGTTTCTTGTTTAACTTGTTTTAGGATAGGACCGTGAGGCTATGGAATATTGAAGAAATTGACCAAATTCCCTTGGTAATCGAGCACAAAAAGACCCGGGGCTCAACAGTGAAACAGGTTAGTATTGGGTAAAATGAAGCCAAATGAAGGCTTTCATTAGTTCTCTCTACAAATTAATTTATTTTTTGAACAAATTTCTTGGACAACTGGGGATAAAACTATGAACAAACAGACTGAAATTTTTGCCCTGAGGGAGCTTACATTTCTAAAAGGGGAGATAAGCAATGAATAAAGAAATAAGAAATGTATGTAGTAAGTCACATGGTCATAGGTACTTTGGAGGAAAATAACAGGAAGGGAACTGGGAGGGCTGGTGGTGTGGCATTCTAAATGGGGGTCAGGAGAGGTCTCATTGAGAAGGTGACATTTGTTCAAAGACTTGGAAGGTGGGGAGGGAGTGAGCTGTGAGCTGTGAAGCTGTTTTAGGGGAAGGATATCCCAGCAGAGGGAACAGCCCATGTGGAGACCCTGAGACAGGACTGAACTGGTGCTGAAGAGTGGAATGAGTGGGAGGAGATGAGGCCCGAGGACATCCTGGAGGAATGGCTGGCACACAGCTGGACCCCGTGTGGGCCTCTCCTGAGCTCCATCAGCAGAACCTTGGCCAGGTCCCCAGTACCCCGTTTCCCATGGATGGAACTCAAGTCCCAGTTCTCTAGTGGATGATCATGGTGGGCACGGCTGTTTCACCAGGTGTAGCCAGGACTCACCCTGCGCAGTGGAGGCCAGTCCCTGCTGGGGCCTTGCAGTGCAGGCACCTGGCTACCCCTTCCCAAAGCTGAGGAGTCCCTGTGGGCCCTTGTGAATCCTGGAATCCCCCAGGTTTGTCTCTGTTCAGAAGGTCGCCCAGCTGGTACCTACCGCTTCTGGGGATGGCTAATTGGCTGAGTACTGAAGAATGAACGCTTTTGAACTGTGGTGTTGGAGGAGACTCTTGAGAGTCCCTTGGATTGCCAAGGAGATCAAATCAGTCCATCCTAAAGGAAATCAGTCCTGAAAATTCATTGGAAGGACTGATGCTGAAGCTGAAGCTCCAAGCCTTTGGTCACCTGATGCGAAGAGCCAACTCACTGGAAAAGACTCTGAGGCTGGGAAAGATTGAAGGCAGGAGGAGAAGGGGGAGACAGAGGATGAGATGGTTGGATGGCATCACTGACTCGATGGACATGAGTTTGAGCAAACTTGGGGAGATAGTGAAGGACAGGGAGGCCTGGTGTGCTGCAGTCCATGGGGTTGCAAAGTGTCAGACATGACTTAGTGATGGAACAACAACAGCAGCAATTGGGGAGTGGCACTGGAGGCAGGGAGGTGATGGGTGGGTCCCCCATGGAACCGCATCTCTGTGGCCAGCTGATCCTCATGGTCTTTGCAGCCATGTGGCCCTTAGGCCCTGGAAGCTGACTGGCCACAGAGCAGTGTTTGTGTCTCCACCTGCCACCGAGGCGGGATCCAGGGGCTGCCGCCTCTGAGCTCTGTTGTCCTGGGCTTGGGTTGTGGGGAATTATGCTACAGAATAAAGTAGGTAAAGGATCAAATACATTGCTTTCTTGTAAAAGGAAGGAAAGAAAGAAATCTACTTGAAGCTGTAGCAAAGATGAGCTTGCTGCATTTGACTTGCTCTGAATCAATGTGAGAAATCCTGGAGGCCAGGTTTCCCAGAGGACCTACCCGGGGTGGGGTTTGCCCCGCCTCCCCTGCAGGCTTTGGGGCCCTAGAGAGGGCAAGGGTGGCAAAGCATAGGGTCTTGGCGAGCCAGGGTGGAGACCAGGCTGGTCTCGGGGTACCATGCTGTGGTGGGACCCTCGGAGAGACCTCTGTTCAGGGCCCAAGAGCCCACCCCATGGTGCTGCTCACTTGTTGGTGGGAAAAATGTGACAAGCGAGCTGGGCCACTGTACCCACTGTCCTCTGGGTGCTTCGGCCAGAGACAGGCTGAGACAGAGGAGGATGTTCAGCATCTTTATCATGTTCCTGCTTTGTTCAGAAGTCTTGCCTACTTGATGCTCAAAAACTAGGTGTCCCCAGGATGTCAGGTAGTTGGGATACCCCTTGGCTCTGCAGTTTTGCTCTGCAGAGAGCAGAGGGTGCTAGTTAGACACCCACCCCCAGTCCTTGCCATTGTCAAGTGGCTTTCCACTTCCCCCCTCCCCCTCACCCACTGCTGGGACCCCACAGCAGGGGACATGAGTTGGCAGGACCTGTGTAGCTTTTGTGAGGGAAGAGAGGGGAAAGCCTCAGCTCATTCCCTCTCAGTGGTCTGCAGTTTCCATCCTTGTGGGCTTAGAGACCCCAGAGAGGACAGGCAGTGCTTGCCTCGGCCTGGCCCCAGGTAGCTGGATCAGGGGGAAGAATTCTAAACTGTATGCCTCCATCTCCTCTGATCAGCACCTCCTTTCTACTCTTTTAAAATATTTCATGTCAGTGCGAAGAATGTGACAGGCCTTTCTCCATCTACGAAAGCGACATCTTCTCTGAAACAGTCACCAAATGTGTGTTCTGCCGGATGAATGCGACAGACTTGTCAACAGAGGCCTCACAGTCATCAGAAGGGGAGCCCTCGCTGTCAAGGGAGAGCAGCCCAGATGAGGAAGGCTGATGGCCACAAGACCCTTTGGGTGACTTGAGCCCAGGTCATTTGTGACTTAGGCTTGGGGGCTCTGCGGAGACCTTTCTCTGGGGCCCCTCCCCAGTGGGTGGGCCCATCATACTAAGGCAGGGGCCAGGCCAGGCTCTGGCTGGACTCCCACCACTGCTTGGCCTCCTTAGCTCCCCAGCACCTCGAGGATCCCTTGCCTGTAGTTTTCATGCAGAATAAATCTAGATGCTTTTGGAAAACAGTGCGCGTGTGAATTCTAGAAACATTTTTGCTATTTCTATGTCCTGGTATTCATCCTGTCTCATTTTGGGAACATATTCTGGTCTCTGGATTTGCCCTGTAAAGCAGTCATTGGGTGCTGGCACCAGCAACCCTTGAGGAAGGGTCCGTGGAACGAAGAGGAAGCTGTGTAGCCCCCTCTGTGGAAGGGACTGTACTGTGGCCCTGTGGGTGCCTCCCTGGCTGATGCTTCCAGATGGTCACCTGCCCAGAGCTGGGGAAGGTCTGGTCAGGCAGGTAGGTGGAGGGCACTTCCATCACAGAATGTTGCTTGTTTTCCACCCCAGTGTCTTTGGTTTCCAGAATGCCCATGCATGTGTACAGCCTCCTTCCTGCTTCCACAGCGTCGAATACAACGTAAATCAATTACTTCACAAAGAGCGAAGGTTTCAAGTAAACCAGAAGGGCTCCCTTTTCCATTTGGTCTGGCTTACGGGATTCCCATCAGGTTTCCCTGGTGACTCAGATGATAAAGCATCCGCCTGCAGTGCGGGAGACCTGGGTTTGATCCCTGGGTTGGGAAGATCCCCTGGAGGAGGGCATGGCAACCCTCTCCAGTATTCTTGCCTGGAGAATCCCATGGACAGAGGAGCCTGGCAGGCGGCATCCTGGCTACCCCCATGGGGTCACCAAGAGTCTGCTACAACTGAGCGACTAAGCACAGCACAGGATTTCCATCAAGTATCATTAGTATACCCCTTGGTCTCTCTTGAAAACTTAGGTGCAGGACTGATTTACTTAATGTTAATCGACTGGCATCCTATAATTCTGTCCAAGAGCACGGTGACCTGGTAGCCATTGTCTGGGCTGGCCCTGTGCTTGTTGCTGCCCTCCTTCCTCTCAACCGGGGCGACTGCCCAGCTTCCGCAGACTGTCCAGTATTTATCCATTAATTTACAAGAATGATGATGGATGGGACACAGCAAAACTCCACTGAACGGCCTCCCCGTAACTGGACTCTTTTTGGAAGAGAAGTCTTATCCCTTCTCCCCTACACGAAGACACTGAGAGATTATTTTTCCTCAATGCGGAGGAGGATGGACAGCCTGCATGTACCAACATTGTCCCTAGGGACGGACACTTAGGTTGCTTCTCCTTTTTGACTATTACAAACAGTGCTGGAATGAACCTTGTGTGCATAGGTCTGCAGAGACTGACATTCCTCCTGTGGAAACTCTCCCACTGGAGAAATCTCTGGGTCAATGAATTAGCAGGTTTCGGGGTTGTTGCTGCTCAAAAGCCCTCTGAAAAGTGTTGGGACGAAGGGGTTGATGTGTCTGAGTGAGGAGCCCCAGAAGGCGTAAATAAGAAGCCTTGGTGGGCAGGGCTCTGCTTTTCTCTGGCAGCGGAATCCTCCCACGTAGGGTGTTGATGCTCCAAGCAGCCTAGGCCCCCTGAAGCTCTGGATCCTTCAGTGCTTGTTCAGGGTCCCCTCAGTGCCCCCGGATTCTTTCTGTGCTCAAGGCCCGCGGAAGAGGCCCAGTGGAACCTAGAGGTCTGGTGTCGACCGGCGGGCGAATGAGCCCCCAGAACTGGCGGCGCCCGAGACCACGGTGGCTAGTGTGCGGCTGAGGAGGGCAATCGGCTTCCCAGGCTGAGGGCGCCAGTGCCACGGCCCGACGCGTGGTCACCGTAAGACCACCGCCGGGTGTGAGCCGAGACCCGACGCGGGGGCAGCCGGCGGCCAGGCCGCGCTCGCGGGGCGGAGATCTCTGGAGCGGGAGGGGCTCGGCCTTGCCGGACAGCCTGGGGCTTCCCTGCACCAGTTATGGAGGGCCAGGGACCGGACCTTGCGCAAGCATCCCCTAAAGACGGGCCATCCGGGCTCCACGTAGGGGAGCAGATATCACAGCACTGAGCTCACCGGCCCCCTCAGCTCACGGTCAGAGCTTCCGGTTTCAGAGTACTCCGGGTCTAAACTGCCAGAGACCGAGACTTTACACTGCGCACGCGTCACCCATAGGCACAGCTCGTGCGCATGCGCGCAGCCTATGTAGGAAATACTGATGGGGAACAGATTCGAATAGTAGAAACGCGGACGGCGCCGTGGCTTAGTTGGTTAAAGCGCCTGTCTAGTAAACAGGAGATCCTGGGTTCGAATCCCAGCGGTGCCTCAACCGAGCGTCCCGGCTCTCTTTTTACCCACACCCAATTTTGCTGCGCCTCTGCCCGGTTTCTCCTCGCTTTGGGGGTGTGACAGGAGGCTTTCTTGTTGTTCAGTCGCTGAGTCGTGTCTGACTCTGCGACTCGCGGGGCAGCACGCCAGGCTTCCCTGGACTTCTTTATCTCCGGGAGTTTGCTCAAACTCAGGTCCGTGGAGTCGGTGATGCCATCCAAGCCTCTCATCCTCTGTCTCCCTCTTCTCCTGCCTTCAGTCTTTCCTAGCATCGGGGGAAAGAGAGAGCTTAATAAGCCATTTTAGTCACCCCCTGCCCGTGGCGCGGTGGGGCGCTGGCCCTCCTCGGAGTCCCTAGTTTCTTGAGTGGCGGGGGCTCACTGTGTGCTGGTCAGCTCTTGCCCTTTGCAGCTTGTTTGGTTTTGTTTGGTGTTGCAAAGGAAAACTTGCAGAAATACTTTGAGGCTTTGCATTTCTGATAGGAGAATCCTCCTAACCCAATTGGAGAAGACTTTACTGGTCATAGGGCTTGAGTCATTGTGGTACTGCGTTTTTTTGTTTTTTTTTTTTTTCCTGGCACATCTTTACTGCTAGCCTGAGGTATTCCGAGGCAGTTTTGAGCATTTGCCTATTAGATAGATAAGGGGAGTCCTTGGTTGGGGAGTGTGAATCTGGGTCTCAGGGAAAGTCAGCTGGAGAAAATCATCTGTGAGCTGTCATCCCCGTGTGCTGGCTTACCTGCTTGCTCAGACGGTAAGGGATCCACCCGCAGTGCAGGAGTCCTGGGTTTGATCCCTGGGTTGGGAAGATCCCCTGGAGAAGGGCATGGCAACCCAATCCAGTATTATTATTATTTTTAACATTAAAATTTTTTTTATTGAAGGATAATTGCTGTACAGAATTTTGTTGTTTTCTGTCTAACCTCAACGTGAATCAGCCATAGGTGTACATATGTCCCCTCCCTTTTGAACCTCCCTCCCACCTCCCTCCCTACCCCACCCCTCTAGGTTGATACAGAGCCCGTGTTTGAGTTTCCTGAGACATATAGCAAATTCCTGTTGGTTATCTATTTTACATATGGTAATGTAAGTTTCCATGTTACTCTTTCCATACATCCCACCCTCTCCTCCTCTCTCCCCATGTCCACATGTCTATTCTCTATGTCTGTTTCTCCATTGCTGCCCTGTAAATAAATTATTCAGTACCATTTTTCTAGATTCCATATATATGCATTAGAATACGATATTTATCTTTCTCTTTTTGACTTACTCCACTCTGTATAATAGGCTCTAGGTTCATCCACCTCATTAGAACTGACTCAAATGTATTCCTTTTTATGGCTGAGTAATATTCCTTTGTATATATGTACCACAACTTCTTTATCCATTCATCTGTTGATGGACACCTAGGTTGCTTCCATGTTCTAGCTATTGTAAATAGTGCTGCAGTGAACAATGGAATACATATGTCTTTTTCAATATTGGTTTCCTCAGGGTATATGCCTAGGAGTGGGATTGCTGGGTCATATGGTGGTTTTATTGCTAGTTTTTTAAGGAATCTCCATACTGTCTTCCATAGTGGCTGTGTCAATTTACATTCCCACCAACAGTGCAAGAGCATTTCCTTTTCTCCACACCCTCTCCAGCATTTATTTTTGAAGATGGCCATTCTGACTGGTGTGAGGTGATATCTCATTGTAGTTTTTACTTGCATTTCTCTAATAATGAGTGATGTGGAGCATCTTTTCATGTGCTTGTCAGCCATCTGTATGTCTTCTTTGGTGAAATGTCTGTTTAGGTCTTTTTCCTACCTTTTGATTCAGTACCATTTTTTCCTACTTTTTGTTTGTTTTTCTGGTATTGAGTTGTATGAGCTGCTTGTATATTTTGGAAATTAATCCTTTGTCAGTTGTTTCATTTGCTATTCTTTTCTCCCATTCTGAGGGTTGTCTCTTCACCTTGCTTATAGTTTCCTTTGCTGTGCAAAAGCTTTTAAGTTTAATCAGTTCCCACTTGTTTACTTTTGTTTTTATTTTTATTACTCTAGGAGGTGGGTCATAGAGGATCTGCTTTGATTTAGGTCATTGAGTGTTCTGCCTATGTTTTCCTCTAAGAGTTTTATAGTTTCTGATCTTACATTTATGACTTTAATCCATTTTGAGTTTATTTTTGTGTATGGTGTAAGGAAGTGTTCTAATTTCATTCTTTTACGTGTAGCTGTCCAGTTTTTCCAGCACCATTTATTGAAGAGGCTGTCTTTGCCCCATTGTATATTCTTGCCTCCTTTGTTAAAAATAAGGTACCCATAGGTGCATGGGTTTATTTCTGGGCTCTCTATCTTGTTCCATTGGTCTATATTTCTGTTTTTGTGCCAATACTCACTCCAGTATTCTTGACTGGAGAATTCCATGGATGGAGGAGCCTGGCAGGCTACACAGCCCATGGGGTCACAAAGAGTTGGGCATGCCTGAGTGGCTAAGCACACACGGCCTTGCCTGCAGCAGGTGACTTTGAAGATGTCTTATGGGTGAGCACTCCTGGACAGTGAGCAAAGCCAGAAAAGAGATTTAGGCCCAGGGCTGAGCCCAACCCTCCTTCTTTTCTTTTAAAAATGCCATGCTATTTCTGCGTGGGGACTTTCTACTTGCTGTGCCCTGCACTTGGAATGCTATATCCTGGGCCTTTTGCAGAAATGGATCTTTCTCCTCTCTTGGCGGTCAATAAGTGTATCACTTCTTTGGGAGGCCCCCTGTTACCATGCTTTGTACAGGTTCCTCTAGGTCAGCATCCCATACCTCATCTTGATTATTTCCTTATAGCCTTTTCACAGTCTGAAATCATTTTGTCCACTTCCTCAAAGAGCATTAAGCCTGGGCAGGTGGGCAGCCTCATATATCTGTCTATCTAATGGTGCTTGGACCATGATAGGCATTTGTGGACACATAACTCTTTTTTAAAAATATATGTATTTGGCTGTGCTAGGTGTTAGTTTCGGCACACAGGATCTTTGATCTTCATTATGGCAAGGGACATCTTTACTAGCAGCAGGCAAACTCTTAGTTGTGACATGTGGGATCTGATTCCCTGACCAGGGATTGAACCTGGGTCTTCTGCATTGGGAGCATGGACTCTTAGCCAGTGGACTGCCAAGGAAGCCCCTGGACACATGACTTTTAAAAAATTGAACATATTATATTGACTGGATTATGCATTTGAGGAAATTTTTTGGACAGTTAGTTCAAATACTGTAAGGCAGCAGTTCTCAAAATGTGGTTCCTGGAACCCTAGGGATCCCTAAGACTCTCTTAGGTGGTCGAATCT